CACTTCTTATTTTGCATACACGAAGCGAAGGGTGCAATAGTCCCATCAGAGCACTCTGGCGGGATCACCAGCAGGGATAGCAGCAGCAAGATACAAAGGCAGCACAGCGCAAGTAGGACCGTACAGGCCCTATTAACTTCTTTTTTCTTTCTTTTTTTTTGCTTTCTGTTCTGACGTCACACGTGTGTGTGTAGACTGCTGTTTCATCCCCGTGTGCAATTTGGTGCGACGCCCAAAATGTCGTCCGCCGCCAGCAATGCTCTTGTGGAATCGGAAAAAACGCCAAGTGCCACGCAACAGGGTGAGGATTTTGCCGACCTGGAGCAGCAGGCTCGAGTGGCACTGGAGGATTTAGCTGCCAATGGAAACCAGGATGAGGCCAGCACCGCGGAGTACATGCGCACACTGCGCGAGTACCGCCAGGCCTGCCAGAACCGTGCACAGTACGTGGAGGCGGACCTCGTGCAGCAGGTGCTGCGCCACCTGCGTCTCGACGAGGAGACGCGGCACGTGCGCGGTCTGACAGAGCAGCAGATGCTCGAGCGCCAGGCTCTGGACGAGGCACACCGCGAGGAGTTCCGTGTCTTTCACCGTGCGTGGAACGCAAAGATTGACGAGATGGAAGAGCAGCAGCTCGACTTGGAGACGGCGCTACTAGAGAGACAGAACGCGGAGCTGCAGGCCTTCTACGAGGAGATGAACGACCTGAACCCGCACGCGTCGAAGTGTAGCCGGGACCTGCTCGACGCACGGGCGGTGGAGCACGTCCTCGCTACACAACGGGAGTACGCACGGGCGCAGCGTACTAAACTTAAGGCGGACCGCATCGAGGCGAAGGACGCAGAGCGCTTCATGCAGACGAAGGTCGAACTGTTTGAGCGACGTGAGGCTGCACTGCGGCAGAAACATCAACAGGAGCGCCACGTACTGAGCGTCAAGGTGGACCGGCGCAGACTAGAGCTAGAACGGGCGCGGAAGCGTGAGCTTGATGTGTTACTGCAGAGGTATGTCAATGTGCGGCGGGAATTGGAGCTCCAACAAAACATCATTCGGAGTAAAACGGGCACTATTCTTCTTAAGCACGCCAGCAATACAAAGAGCGACGCCAGTGGAAGTGCAGCACTGGTAGAAAGCGCGGGCTCCGGTGCGTTTGGCTTGACGGTGCAGCGCCGGCACTTTGATGACACGACCCAGCGCGGCACTTCGCAGAATGGCTCACAAAAATGAGAAGTGAGAAGGATCGTATGGCATGAATGAATGTCTCGAGAAGGAGGGGCTTAGTCATAAAAAGTTGGTGTCAAAAGTGTGGGTTTGTGCGGTTCTTTGGCGATTTTGTTCGCACTGCAGCAAGATTGGGGTTGAACCTTCTTGGAGAGGATTTGAGACACCATGCTCTTATGCCTGGGTTGCATGTGAGTGCGTCTGTGCTTGTGTGTCTGTGTGTCTGTTTCTATGCGTGTCGCCTTCAGACCTCTATCCCTCTCGTTCCAATGTATTCACGGAGTATTAAACAACAGAAAAAAAAATATATGGAGGCGAAAGCATCCCTTTGAGTGGGGTATACATAGATGTCTATGCAATCGCTCCTCCGTTTTTCCCCTTCCACCCCTCATGTCATAACAGGAGGAAGTCTTGGCTTGCCCTGCATTGAATTATTCCGTGCTTCTTTAATCTCATTGGATCATTTGTGTCTTTTCTTTCGCTTATTCTTTTCTCTTTCTTGCTTTCATTTTTCCCTTTGAATATTGTTGTTGTTGCTGTTATTGTGCGTTTTCGTCGGGTTTATATATATA